ACAAGATTGCCTTTTTCTATTTTTATTCTGAGTTCTCTTCCATGTACTGTAGATAGTGTCTTATTTTTTCACTTATTTTATCCTATCAGAATCAGAATGATATACATTCAGTGTATTGTGGTTTGTTATCATAACTCAGTCAGATGCACATAGATTTAATGCCACCCTCAAAATCTCAGCAGTTGAAGTGTGTGTGTGTGTGTGTGTGTGTGTGTGTGTGTGTGTGTGTGGTTTGTAAACTGTGATGGCTCCTTTGGGAGCATGACAGTATAAAAATATAAGAACCTGAAAATATTTAGATGCAGATACACATGACTTGCTAGGTAAAAATAGGATCGACAGTAGTTATGTGTACATGAATGCACACGCACATAGATATGTGTTCTCCTCTACAAAGGAAAAGGTGAATTAAGTGCATTTGTTATATGTGCCACAAAAAGAGTTTGGCAGAACTATGGTGGAAAGATCCAAGAGTTGGCAATGAGCCAAAGTTAGATAATGTAGTGTGGTTTTAAGCCAGACAAAGCCTAAACACATTAGATTTTGCTGATCATAAGGTCACTGAGATGTATGAATGTGAGAAATAGGTTGATCTAGATAAGATACATGATGAAGTAAATAGGTTTGAATTAGACAATGTTTTGTGCTACTAAGAAGGGTGATTGCTGAATGTGGTAAGAATGTGATAAATTATATGGTGGAAGAAAAATGTGACTGAGAATAAATGGAATGCTTGGCAAACAGTTCGATGCCAAGCAGGGAATAAGTCAAGGATGTGTGATTTCCTTGCTTATTTAATGTGTTAATTAATAAATGTTTATAAGGAATGCTTGAAATGAGATCAGAGGTATGTTGGTTGGGAACATGAATGTATGTGAACTTTTGTATGCAGATGATGCTGTGTTGTTGGTAGCAACCAGAATGATTTGCTATTAGATTGCATAATGAAAGGGTCAGAAAATTAGCGTAAGTCAATTTTTGTTAAGGTTGTTGTGCTTGATAGGCAGAAATTGTGTTTTCACACTTGCACAAGTTAGAAAAAACTAGAACAAATGAATGGTGTTCCTTGATAGATGGGGAATTAATGTACAGCTGATAGAAAGAACTGGATAGGTAGAGGTCTCTTATGAGGAACATTTGTTGGTCAAAAACGTTTTTGCAGGTTAGTAAAATAGAAAGCCAAAGTCACGCGCCGTGTTTCCATATGGAAAGCAGAAATTAATAAAAGCAGTCCAATAAATCAAAGAAAGCAAGCAAAAAAAGAAAACAGAAAAAATCCAGCCAGGGTTGAAATATATCAGCATTCATCCAACCAACTTTATTATTAAAGATAATAACAAAAACAAAAGTTCAAAAAGCAAACTTAAAAATCCCAGACATGCTTACAATAATGTTCTGCCAGTCGGAAGATGGAAACGCCCATTGACCTTTCAGCTGTTCCCACAAGGAGTTGCAATCTTCAAGATTCCTCCTCCTTGGTGAGTCCACAGCCATCCAAAAGTTGTCTTGGGTCATTCCTAAGTGTCCCCTTTCAAATCTAGGGGGCAAGATTGCCAAAGAACCAGCTCTGGCAGCAAACACAGCAGATTGTAAGACAAAAAAAAAGCTCCTTATTCCTCAGCAGGAGTGAGGAATATTTCAATCAATCAAACAATCAATCATAATAGAGCTGGAAGGGACCTTGGAAGTCTTCTAGTTCAACCCCCTGCTCAAGCAAACCTTATACCATTTCAGAAATATGACTGTCCAGTCTTTTCTTTAAAATCCCAACGATGAAGCACCTACAACTTCTGAAGGCAAGCTGTTCCACTGGTTATAATTTGGTGGAAGAAGCAAATAGGGCTGTGTATAATAGCATACCGAAACTCATTTTTTTATATGGAAACCTGAGCTGGGAATGTAGGGAAAAGCATAAAAGTCAGTTAAATGCAAAAGAGGTAGGTTTCTAAAATCTGCATGGTAAAAGAAGACACAGGGTCAAGAACGAATGGGTGCTGAATAAATAAGGATTGATTGCCAATGCGTACTGTATTAAAAAATACGCTGACAGAGAGAATGAATGATTCACAAAACAAATGTATGAAGAGCAAATGCATTTCAGAGGAAGGGGAAGACTGAAGACCTGTTTGGATGGAGTTGATGAAGTCCTCAGAAGGACAGAAGTGAAATGTTTAAGCAACACAATGAAATGTATGACTTGTATATGGATTTGGTGGAAGCAAGGATGATTTGCAAATTGTGAATTGGTGTAAACTAGTTTCAGCTACATTTCCTTTTCATTTGTTTAGTATTTCTTTCTCCTTTTCTAATCTGTTTATACTTTGGCTTCCCCTGAAAGTGACTAATGTGATGAGTATTGTCATGCACACACAACCACTGGCTGTCTAGCATCTGAAAGAACACATCCGGTGAAGTGTAGCTCATCAATTCTCTTGGCCATTTGTTCTGCTATCAAATTGCTCTTATTCTTAGCAAGTTTTTTTTTTTAATTTGTCTAACAGAATCTGCTTTCCTGAAACCTAAATCCAATATTCTGGATTATTTTGTCCTGCACTCTGAAATGAGACAAAGCAGAGAACTTGACTTCCTTTTTGTCGTATCTTTTCAGGTATTTGAAAAATCCTTTCAATCTTCTCTTCTTAATATTTTCTTTATTCATAGTACTTACTTTCCAGTTTTCCTCTTTGCTGTTCTTTGAAGTTTTCCCATTTTTCTTTAATCTTCTTTTGTAACGCTCTAATGGTGTTTAGGAGCCCTGGTGGCACAGTGGTTAAAATGCTGTATTGCAGGCAAACTCTACCCACAGCCTGGAGTTCAATCTTGATGGGGTTCGAGGTTGACTCAGCCTTCCATCCTTCTGAGGTCGGTAAAATGAGGACCCAGGTTGTTGAGGGTTCATATACTGATTCTGCAATTTGCCCAAAGAGCGCTATAAAACAATATGGGATGGTATATAGGTCTAAGTGCTATTGATATGCTCAGAAGTGGAGATAAAACTCAAAGTGGGGTCTGACTAAAGCAACATATTGTTGATATGTATACCTGTAAATATATATGGCAATTCTGAACCTTTAACTGATCTGGATAGCTCCAAGAGAAGGATCTGGTATCCCATGGCTCTTATGTTGAGAGAGACAACAATATTTTATTTTCATTATTATGATATCAAAGGAGACATAGTGAACGATGTCACCAGTCAAGGTCAAAATAAACACAAACTAATGTCTAGTTCATGCCTTAACATTACTAACCCAACTCCCCAAATGCTGAATATCTGAGTTCAACTAATCCAGGATGTTCTGGAGACCTGCAAGAAGTATTTGTGAACTACATGTAGCTCTCATATTACATCAAGACAATTTATGGGTACATTCAATAACTATTTGCTCCATGAGATTTTTTTTTTGGTACTCTAATATCTGTTTTCTAAACTAGATTTATGGGAAGCACTAGAGGAACTGAGAAGAAAGTAGCCACTGTACTGACAGATAACTTGATGCCATTCTGGAAAATAAATATATTGTTGTGTTTGCCTTTATATTTCTAAAATGAGAAATTCAGTAGAATTAGGTGTATATTTTCTTTGGAAGTCCTAGGAAGAACCATAATATTTATCTTTGCAGCTGAATGGTGGGTCTTTGGTAGCAGTACAACTCTACTCTCAAAACAACCCACTAATATTCATTCACGTCAGTGGGATAATCATAATCAAACTTTTATTTAATCCATGACTTCTTGCAGTGTATTTTCAGTAGGAAGTTCCTCATGAGAAAAGCAAGTATGCTTTTAGCAGCAAGAAAGCATAGTAGTCTCCAATTTTTGAGCCATTATTCAACGCCATTATTGGCTTTGTTTAAGACTGAGAATGAACATGAAGTACTTTATGTATTTTCCCATATGTCCAGTGCTGAGGACACATTCCCCATTCCAAGGAAGATTTGTTTAAAGACCTAGCATGATTCCAGAGCGGTGTTTGCCCTTGTTCCTCAAAGAGAGCGCTCCTTCTCCAAACATTTCCCTTTTAGAATATCATCAATATTCTTCCTGTGTGGCCTAGATAGCTGACTTAAATGTTTGCCACACAAATCACGTGTGGCCCTATCTCTACTCAACTGTCCTGAATGAAGCACTGAAAGACTTCAATTTGGTTGGTGGCCTGCTGATGAGACTCTTATATAGGTCTATTTTAAGTTTATAAGTCACTTTTTATTGCAATAGACATTTGTCCTAATCACATTTATCCTATAATTTACATAGGAAGCGAGAGCACATAAGTTTAAAACTTACTAAGGATTTTTTTTTATCAGTTTCTAAATGCAATAAAGAGCCCTTTAGGTGTAGCGGTTACAGCACTGGGCTAGAAACCAGACCACCACAAATTCTAATCCCATCTTAGATACAAAGCTAGCTAAGTGACCTTGGATCACTAACTCTCATGACTCAGAAGGAGGAAATGGCAAACCCCTTCTGAAATCTTGCCAAGAAAACTGCAGGGACTCATTCAGACGGTCACTGGGAATTAACACTTACTCAAAGGCACACACACAAAATAAAAGACCACCCCACAACACAGACTCAAACTTAAATTTCTACTTTCTGATCCTTTACTGTCACCATTATAATACTATTAGTTCAATGTCTCTATAATTTTTGTTTCAACCTAACCGAACAACTCAAGAAGAATAAATGGTCAATGCCTGCCAAAATTAGCAAGATCATTAGAGATGGCAGTGATGGCATTACTGATAGAGTTGTCCAAAGAAATGAGAGTTAACTTTTACTTAGATGTCAAATGGCCAACCAGTAATGAAAAAGCCCATTATTGTGGCTAATAGAAGATGGGACTAGAATACTAGTGCTGATAATGCAAGCTGGAACTTACCAGGCTCAAAGAAGCAGTTACTGAGAGACAGTCCCAATTAAATGAGGCCTCTCGGGTCATAAAAAATCAGAAGCAACTGAATTTCTGAACATCAAACAGACCCACAAGTATAGACATATTCTGGGATATACAAACAATTTTATTGAAATTTAACAAAATTCAACAAATGCACTTCAAGGCAGAGGAAATAGATATTATACATGTTTCCCTCCAGGATTCCTTTCTGTATGCTACAAGAACAGAAAGGGCAGTGCTAGTGGGTTCAGTTCTACACAACCACACGCACGGAAGGATCATTAAAATGAAATAGAACTTTTTGCTTATTCCAAAGATAGTGATATATATCAATATTTTTGTCTATATACCAACGTCATCTGCTTTCACAGTATCAGCATCCTATATAGTCTCCGCAAGCCCTCTCCCTGATCACAGCTACCATTTGCACGAAGGGCAGAGCTGCTAGAAAGCAAGATGAGAGGGGTGGCAGAATCCCAGCAGACAACGGCACATCTGGAGACACAGTGGACAGGCAAGGAGCCGGCCTTGGAGAAATTAAGAGATGTCAGCTGCTGGTATTCTCTTGCAGCTTAGGAGATGTCAAGCTCGGCAGAAATGAGACCTCCTTTACATAGAGGCTCTATTTAGATGCCTGTCAGAAAAAGAGTGGGAGCAACTTGCTGCGCAAGTCACGAGAAAATGAAATCCAACATAGCACAGTAGTTTTCTGATCACAGGGCATTTGCTTGCTCAAAAAATAACCACTGGAAGAACATAAAACCAGGTATTTTAGAAACGTAGATACAAGAAAGACTGTTACCAACAAGGCTTTCACTATCTCCCATGAATAAAATCTCCAGATTGGGGAGTAGAACTTTCTATTCTGAAGATAAAATATGATCCAACACTGCTTCTTCCGACCTACTTCTGAGGTAAGTAAGCAGCCTTCCCTTCAATTACTCAAGAAGTAGCATGGTTCAGCTCGATGACAACCTATGATTCATTATGGACCATCATGCTGAGATGGGAGTATTTGTTGACCCAGCAAGTTTGCAAACTCATCTCGGATCCGCAGGATGCTCTTGTTTCACTGCAATGAAATTTCCTTCCCTAATAAAGATCAGAAATGTCAGATTCTGATTATCACGCTATTAAAAGTGAATCAAAATTCAGATTTCACTACATAAGGGGAGTGTTGGCTGGTTGTACACTTTCTATTCACAGGCAATCATACAATTGTAAATTCATAACCTGATTTCTGAATGGCAAAGCAGTGGCAACTGAATAAACAAATTGCTCCAAGTATCAATCCTAATATGTAACACAGACTTGTAGCTAAGAGGGGTGAAGATAAGAGTGACTAGGTAGACCTCTGTCAGCACTGCTATATGCATTCCTTAACACTTCTACTTAGGCTTTTAATGCTTAGAAATGATTTCCTTTGCATGGGTGGACATGAAAGGATGTACATTAACTTACTAATATTGTGATGCAACTGTGTACAAGCTAATTATACTGAACATTGAGGTAGCAATGCCTGAAGTGCTCAGAAAGGCAACGACACAGTCTGGGAAAGAAATATGATGTGCAATGAACCCACCCACACTCCAGTTTTAAAGCTTAATACAAAGTCTGATGGGTGGGTAAAAAGGCAGGCAGGCAGGCAAGGATCTTTTGGTTGTACATTGCATATGAAAGCCTCTTCGTAAGAGTGCCTTTAACAGGGTTTGCCTGATCACCTCTCAGCAGTAGGTAGCTCTACATCGTGAAAGCAAGAAGCCTGGGATGAAGAGGTAGGCATACTGCTTCAGTACTTGCTCAGCTATCAGTACCATAGCAAAACATTTCACATTCATACATCAGGGAGAAGGGCAAGGCCCTTCAAAATAGAAAAGATATAACTTTTCTTTGAAGTGTGCTGCATTATCCCCACATCAGACACTACTTGGTCCAATCCAAGGCATCTGCCAAAGGAAGATCACAGGATTTTGTTATTATTTGCTGGCAGAGGAAGATGAAGGGGAAAATATACAGCCAAATTAGGTGACAAACATCTTGACCAAAGCAAAGTTGTCCTAAGAAAGAGATGGAAACCTAAGAAAGAGATGGAAACTTTTGTCTCCCCAGCAGTCCCAGAGAACATGGCCGATGATGCAGGATGCTTGAATCTTCAATTCAGCAACATGTGGAGGACATAGGTGGAGGTTCTCCAGGTACAACATGGGAAACCAATATGGGAATAAGTTATTCTACCACAAGAATGAAGAGAGAAATCTGTTCTTCTGACAAGGGGCTCTCCGGAGAAGGTCCTGGACTATGAATCTTATCAGCTCCAGTTAGCAAAATCACTGGCCCTACAGTCACTGTGCTCTATTATTTATTGGAGAGCTCTAGGTGAGGGAAGGATCTTATAGATTCACTTGAAAGATAAATGCTTCCTAAGATGTAATATATTTGGTGCACTTTAACAGAAAAGCTTCATATCCAGATGCTACTTCACATCTTTAGTCCATCTTGCAAAGTTCAAAAAGATGAAACCTGCAAAGAAAATAGTGCAACTCCAAAGGGAAATATAACAAAGAGAGGAAAACCTACGTGTTGGTCTGTTTCCTATGACCACTTCAAAAATGATTCTGTTTTGAACAGTTTATTAAGTGCAACATTACTTTCCCTGCCTCCACGAAGACATAGTTCAGTATTAGTCTTTCAGCCCATGCTTATAAGTTAAGTGGGTGAGTGGACAAAGAAGCATAAGAAGTTTTCTGCTCACCTTTACTCATCTTGAAATGTTACTATCAACTTTTGTAAAAGCTGGCTGGGGTAATCACGCAGAATATCTGTTCCTGAAAAAGTGCAAGTTGGCTCTCTAGTGTCAAGACATTTGACATCTGCTGCCACCTAAGCATCAATTAGCAGCTGCTTAATAGGTTGTAGTTGATTCACTGAAGGAAATTTTGAATAGGCTCCTAATCAAGGCCCAACTTTTCATCTGACACAGGTCCCACTAATATACATCCTTAGACAATATTATGCCTGATAGTCAGAAGTGTGCCCACTGCCGCAGTTGCTGTCACTGCCTCCAAACAGAGAAGCATCAAAGCCTGCTGTCTGTTTGTGCTCTCAGTTCATCCTCTGCAGGGACATGTGGCTGCCTAGCATGGTTTACATGTGGTACAGTAAAACTGGGCAAATAAGATGTACTGACAGCACACAGTTAACTTTCTCTTGGCTCAGACCTCACAGATGATAACAGGGAAGTCCACATGAATTCGAGGATGCTCCAGTTTCACCATGCCCTGGAACAAAAAGGATACAACGTGAGTAAAATGCCACCAAAATTAACTTTCAAGAAGCAGGTTGCAATGATTTTCCCACCTAAGACCATTTTGTGCTAAAAAAGTGTCTTGCTCATAATCAAAAATCTGAAAACATTAGAAAAGCAAGTAGGTCATACTGTTGGACTGAAGATGACTTAGAAGTAGTTATTTATCTGCAGAAAGAAAACAAGGAATAGGAACAGAAAGTAATAAGACCCTTGAAATTTGCAACAAATAGCTCACTTCTATCCCTAGAGGCATCAAACTGGTTCTGATCAAATGAACATGGTTCCGATAGATGAAACTCTTCAAAAGAACTTCGAGGCATTGTTTACCTTAAAGAATCTTTTATCCGAGAAACAAAGTATCAGCACTGCATAGTTGAAACCAAAAACTAAATTCCCCTCCCCTGGGTACAATGTAACAAAGCACAATTCCCTCCTCCAATAAACAGTCATAAATCACATCCCCCAATTAGCTTGAAGCAGGGGCTTTTCCCCCAGCTCTCCAGCCCCCAAAATTCTATCAGCTCAGGGCTCAATGACCTTGGGTTCCCACTGCTGAGTTATTATTGTTATGACTAGCTGGACTCTCATCCACATTCCCCCTCCCAGCATCAACTAACTCTAAAAGCAATAGAGGAAAAATGGCTGCATTTCCATCTGTTGTCAAAGCAAGAACATCCAATGTTCGTAGCTTTGACACTTTACTTATATTTGCTGAGGGAAGACATAAGGACAGACTGATGGGCCGGCTGAATAATTAGGAGTTCAAATGACAATTGACTGAAACTTTTTAAATCCCTAAATAGATTGGATGATAAAGACTACATACAAAAACAAAATGGATATTCCATACTTAGCTTCAAATGGTAAAAAAACATCCCTAACACCTGTCCCCAAAGTCCCCAGCTTAACATACCAAGAAGAAAATGTTGATGAATTTCAGAAAGAAATTCTTTCTATGTTAAAATCAATGCAAGAGACAATTGCCTTAGCTCATGATGAGACTAAAAATAACACAAAGAAGATAAAAGAACAATTTTTCAATCTAAATCTACAAACTCAGAAAATGACTACAAAGAAGGAACTAGCAACCCAGAAAAAAAAAAAAAAAAAAAAAACCAGAGGAAGCAGATCCAAAGATGGAGGACCTAAAGAAAGGAACTAACCGACAGACAAATGAAGAATTAGAAGACATAGTGATAATATCAGAAACGGAAAAGATATCTTACCTGTCAAGATCTCAGAACACACTTGAGGATAAGAAAGAAGAGCTGATTGAATGGAAGATAGTGCTATTAGGAGAATTGTGGGAAATTGGAGAAGGAGGGAGGCTGTTTAATGAATATCAATGGGCTGAGCCTCTTCCAAAAACACTTTAATCAGATTGCCTTTCTTATTCCAAACAATATACACAAAATAGAGGAAGAATTATTTGATAATTCAAATGCATTGATTTGGAAAGTTAGTTGGCAAAGGAAGAAAGCTAGAGTAAGACTGAAGAAAATAGAGGTTTTGACCCAGTAGATGGGATATTATACTATTAATCAGATGTTTGAACATGGCTGAGAATAGATAATTGTTAGAAATAGAAGTATTATAACTAGAAAGATAGGATTTATAACTAGAATACTATATTTTGGTATGAGAAAGGAAATATGAAAATGCTAAGAGGGTTTGAATAAGGGAAGCTTTTCATTACACAAATATAACTTATGAGAAATTATAAGCAATAGAGACATTTTGAACTCTGATGGGAAATTAAAATTTTAAAAAAGCGGGAAAAACAGGATATTAATTGAACAAATGGATATTAAGTGCAAATGCAATTAAGATATATTTGGGTTAGAAAAGATATTTTAAACCGGCATTATTGATATTATTAGGAAAATGTAACAAAAATGTCGATATTCAATTGTATATGTATTAACAATAAGAATTGTATTTGCTTAATGTGGGAAAATGTGTACTGCCAGAAGAAGAGAGGAAGCATTGGATGGTGTAATATTGGGCCTAGATTGAAGAAGTTAATATGTACCACTGAATTACTAATGGACCCAGAAAACACATTGTTTATTAAGTACTTACGATTGTAAAACTAGAAAATAAAATATTTATAAAAAAATGTGGGCACTTATCAACTGGCATGTATTTACATGGTTCCAGCATCCCAATGTCATGTGATCATTATTTGTGACCTTTTAAGCCAGCATCTTGCCAGTGAAGACAATGGGAGAAGCTAGATTCATTCAACAACCACATGATGCACATAATTACAGCAGTGATTCTCTTAAAAACCACGGCAAAAATGGCATTATTTTTGGACAGGACTCACCAACCATCTTGATTAGCAATGGAAATTCTGGTCCCAACTGTGTTGGTTAAGGAGTATCTGTAGCGCTTAAGATATTGGGCCTAGAAACTAGGAGTTAAGTTCTAGTCAGTGGTGGGATTCAAATATGTGAACAACCAGTTCTCTGTGTGGATGTCACTTCCATAAGTCCATTCTAGGTCTGAGCAACCAAAAATTAGCTACCAGTTCTGCTGAACTGGCTGAATTCTACCACTGGTTCTAATCTTGCCTTAGACATTAAAGCTAGCTGGGTGACTTTAGGCTAGTCATTCTCTCATAGCTGAACCCCATTCACAGAGTAGTGGCAGGGGTTGTTGTGGGGAAAATAGGAGCAGAAAGAAGTATTATGTATGTTCACCATCTTGAGTTATTTATAAAAAAAAATACAGAATAAAAAATCTTTTAAAAAGTTACGCCATCACTATTGTAATGCTATTTTTAAACTATAAATGGTAAGTCTCTGAAGTCCAAAATATCAAAATGCTATTCAAAGAACAAAACAGTTTTTCTAAGATGCTTAGTTTGGATAGAGAGTATTAAAAGGAAAGTGTTCATAATTTCTGGGGTAGAATTACTACACTGACAGGCCTTTGATGGCTAGATCTGATATGCAGAGATGGCATTTCCAATTAATTATGGCATAGCTCTGGGCATGATAGCTAGAGACCAGGGAGAAAAATAAATTTCTTGTATATGCCATGGATATACTACAAAAAGAGCAACGTTTAGTCAAAGCAAAACCAAATCAAGTTATAAAAAAGATACTGTATTTTCAAGGATGACATAAAGGCAATCTACTGTAATCACTGCACACTTAGTTAACAGGACACCGTTTATGTTCTCTACTTTTAGTCTCTGGTTATTTATTTGGATTGTTTAAGAAACAAATATGGAATATTCTAAAGATCTGTTTATGCTTACGATTATGAGGTTTACCTTCAAGAAATGAGACATTTATTCCTTCAAAGAATAAATCAACAATATTAAAATTACAATGTTTCATTTTGAATAAATATTTTAAATGTCAGGTATAGCAAAAAAATCCCTATGAGGAGGCAGGCTGAAATCAACTCCAAGTATTCCAACTGCAGCAATTTCAAAATCTCTGTTGCAGAATCAAACATTTTTCCTCAGATGGCAAAAAGCAATCTTAAAGGCTCTATTTTCTTACAATACATCCAATGGTATCAACAATTCAAAAAACAAATCTTGCAAAAATCTAGAAATTAATCAAACTCTCCCTAATCTGGTGCATATTGGATCAGAATCTGGGAGCTTCTATCAAGTGATAACCAGATTGAAAAGACTGGATCTTGCTTAGGCTTCTTGAGTCTTAGTTTGAATCCAAAACACAGCAATAAACATTACCTGAGGTATTAGGTTCTTGTGAATTCTTTTGAGCTTGGCACGCTTCCTCCCATTCTTGGTGATTATTGTCTCCTCATAAAACTCATGTGCAAGGTCACCATCTTCATCATAATACATAGAGCTGAAAGGAAATGAGAAAATTTGGTAAAAATCAAGGACAAAATGATGAAGCAGTGTATGGATCATGTTAACTGCCATTAGGAGGTAGAGAGATAGCACCTGCTGCTGCCAACAGTCTTCAGCTGAACCAATGCAAGACCAAATGGCTCTGAGTGCATGGAGCTTGAAGATCTGGGATTCTGACATCTTTTGACATCTGGATGGGGTGGCACTACCCTAGACAAACTCGGTTCGCACCTTGGGGATTCTCCTGGACTCATGGCTCTTGCCTGAAGAGCAGGTGGCAGTCCCGTTGTGTACAAGTTGCAGTCTTTCCTGGATCAGGAGTCCCTGTGCTCAACACCATTCAAGCCTTATCATCTAATGTCTAGACTACCGCAATGTGGTCTACATGGGGCTACATTTGAAGAACTTTAGGAAGCTACAATTGTCTGTGACAGTTTTGGGAGTCCTTAGAGTGGCCCAACTTATACCGCCGGTCTGCAAGTTGCAATGGCTGCCAGTTTGCTTCTGGGTGAAATTCAAGGTGTTGGTTATTACCTTTAAAGCCATTCAAGGCATGAGTCCAGGTTACTTGAGGAACTGTCTTATCCCAATGGGATTGATCTCCGCCTACCCATGCCAGCAAAGGCATATTGTGGAGCCCGTCAGTCAGGGAGTTCCAGCTGGTGGAGTCCAGAACAGCTTTCTCTGATGTGGTTCCTGCTCTTTTAAATATTTTGCTCTCTGAGGTGAGGTCAACTCCTTCTCTGACCTACAACCAGCCTACGAACCCTTCAAAATCCAAATCAACCACACAGCCAACCAGAGAGAGCATCAACCCTCAACCAACCCTCGGAACCCCCCCACCAGTTCATCTACCAATGACCCTGATCTGATGTAACTTCCCCATCACAAGCCCCTCACTGATGACTCTCACTTGACACACCCACACCTGAAGCCCTTATAAACAGAAGAACACCGAACTCCCCTAAACTCCGCTGAAGATGTTAGCTAGCCTGGTAACAAAACATTCGTAAACCAACCCACAAGCTCGGAGAACAAATCTTCAGTCTCCTCCTGACTTTTCCTAAGTTTAAACTGTACATTTAAACAGTCTAATGCAGTGGTGGCGAACCTATGGCACACGTGGCAGAGGCGGCACTCGGAGCCCTCTCTGTGGGTACATGTGCCGTTGTCCCGGCCTCGCCTCCCCCCATGAACCCCTCCTTACCAGCAGCCCCCCTGGAGGAGAGTTGCCCCCGAGCGTGGCCCACACGGAGCAGCACAGCCAAGGACATGGCAGCCAGGCAGCGTAGACAAGACTCTGCTCTCACACCCAATCCCGCACATTTGATGCTGTAATGCGTGGGCAGAGGGCGTGGCCACCATGGTGCTGCTGGGCTGCCTGGGCGATCTGTGGCGGGCTCTGGAGGTGGTGAGTGGCCCTGTGGGCAGGTGGGGTGGGGGACGGGGCGGGGCAGGGGGGTGGAGCGGGAGTGGGGCCAGTTTTTGGGCACTCAGTCTCTAAAAGGTTCGCCATCACTGGAATGTATTGCCAAACCTAACTGCAGATATTCTTCACTAACAATCTTGGGTCCTGCAATGTTCAATTAACTAAAGATATTTACATTTCTGTTTTTTCCATACTTGCAACTCTATATGAAAGCAGACTTGTACTTTGCCTTTAATAATTAATGGAAGCAGAATGAATGAGAATTAGAGGAAGAAATGGGAACAGTCAAGCATATACTAATGAAAAGTAAAATACTGCAGTCAGACAGCAATGTTATTTCATTTAGGAACTCCCAGCCACAACACATTTCAGTCATTACTCAAAGAGTTGTGTATTTTGATAAATTTAACTAATTAAAACAGGGAATTCTGACAGATGCACCATTTTTTACAACACATAACATGCATTGTAAGATTATAGAATTGGAAGAACCAAAAAATCCAACAGTTGACTCAATGTACAAATCCTAAAGCATCCCTGACAGATGGCTATCCAGGAAAAGGGAAGGAAATTACTGAATCTGTGTTAAGTCTCACTGTTAAGCCAATTTAGCATCAGCAGCTTATTTGCAAAATTCAGCTCAGGAACTTGCTTTTCTATGCTTTAATTTAAATCCCTTATTCTGCTCTTTGGGATGATGAAGTGCTAGTCTTTTTTGTAGTATATGTTCAGATAAGAGTTCTATTATATTTCCCTACTTTCAGCTTTTTCTTTTCAATGCTAAATATTTCTTAATATTCTCTATTCATAAGATTTTATGTATTCTCTTCTGATCATCTTTATAACCCTTTGGGGCATTTGATCCCAATTTTTCTGAATCTTCTTTAAGAAATGTTGTTATCCTGATAATTTTTGCTAACAGTTATAACTGATGTTGCTCCTGACAACTTAGCTAAATCTGGACTACAAAAACTACTGAATTATGAATGTGTTTTTCAAAGATTTTGCAGAATGGGCTGCAAAACACTTCAGATGCTGAATCAATGTCAGAGTAAAAAGCCATTATCACAAGCAATTTGGAACAAGAGAACTATAAATTGAGACTTCTCACTCTCAATAAATACAGCTGATACAGTAATAGATCATCAAAATTCTCAAAGAGCTATAATTATCCTGTAACAATATTCAAAATTAAAGTGCCCCTATCTCTTTCTCCTCCACTGAACCTTCATGGGGACTTTTTTTACTATTCATATGAAGCGCATTATATATTTTGCAGAAAATAAATATCAAGGAAGCAAGCTTAATTCTTTAGTCGTTTGTTTCCTTGCTCCAGAACAATTCTGCCTATCACAACAAAATGCTTTCTTTCTCCTGAAGCATTTCTAACAATAAGAGGGATAGACCATATCTTCTGCCAACACCTCTATGCTATTCTTTCACTTTTGAGTAAGCAAAAACCTGGAAAAGGCTCTAATGCTGGGAGAGATGGAAGGCAGAGAAGAAGCGGAAAACCAGCAGCAAGGTGGATGGATCCAGTTACAGTGGCAATGAATGCACCATTGGAAGACCAAGTTAGGGACAAATCGCCAGGGAGAAAATCGATGTGGTCACTAGGAATCAGCAACGACTTGGCGGCACATCATCATCATCATCATCGTTCACGGAGTTGTCCGCGAACTGCTGGCTCAGACCCTGCAAGCTTTCCCAAAGTGGCATCTCAAAAGCGGCCCTGTCCAAAAGGAAAGCTGCCGGAGGGAGATGTATGGGAAGATCGGGCAGCTTCACTCTCTTTTCTCCCCCCCCCCCGCGAGGGACCGAAGTGGGAAGGGCATCTGGAGGGAAGCGCCCGCCGCCTTGCTTACTTGAAGTGCAATGCTCGGGCGGCCAGGTAAGCCAAGCTTGCCGACCGCGTAGCCTGCCCCGTCCCCTCCCCTCCCAGCTTCCCTCTTACCCGCGGCGGGTGAAGACGAAGGGGGTAGCCGAGCAGAGTCCCCGAGCTCGAGCCAGCGTCTGATCGCCGGCTGACCTCTCGGAGCTGCCTGGCCCACCCGAGCCAAAGAGCCAGAGGCCTCGAGCCTTGGAGCCGCTGGCGCCCATGGCTCAGAAGAACAGCATGACCGCGGAAAGAGGGGCGAGCCAACCGACGCTCCCTGGAGGGCAGCAACGGAGCCTTCCCCGCGCCGGAAACTCGACCCTCTCACAGCGTAACTTCCGGCACCGCCCATTCCGAAAGTCCACTTTTAAGGGGGGAGGCGCCTTGTTACGGAGGACTATCACATACTGCAAATTGCAGCTTCCGGTTGCCTCTGGAACTGATAACGTTAGCCGCAAACCGGCTAAGACTGGGAGGAAAATACTGTAGGAAGTGGGCCGGATCGGAGGAATCCTGCTGCGGCATTTGAAGATGACCATGTCCCGTTATCTGCTCGTCCTCAAACGAAAGGCCAGCTCAGACGATTTGATATGGGTGATCAGAATGCTGTATTTGTTTCTTAGCAGATACCGTATACAATCGCTATGGACAGTCTTGGCACTGTATTTTCTAATGCTGCCCCATGCTATTAAAACACAAGCAATTTTATAGTTCAAAGTAAGTTTTGAAAGTGGTCCATTGTATCATGGTGCTTTCAATTTGTGTTAACTTGAATGTTATTTAATTTTATGCAATTTGGATAAAGGAATGAGGCATGGCAGCCATTTGAGCCAAGCTATAATAGGAGATAATGATTTATCAGCAGTTCATAATATAAGTGCCCAAATAACTTCCATGTAAACACTTCCTCTCTTGTAGGAGCTCCGGAGGGGATAGGCATCCCTTATTTTGTTGTCCTTATACCTAGTGAAATAGGTTGAGGTAGAGTTTGATCCATAACTGAATCTGTGCATTAGACTTAAGCTATACACAAGATTCCCCCAGTGTATGAATTGTTACACCACCTAAGCTGTACAGCCCAGGTAATTTTAGTAAGTTAATAATTTGTTACTTGGTAATATGCTACATGTGACCTCATCAATAGCTGCATAGGAAGCACTGCATATTATAATTGGCTTAAATTCCAGTTTATTTAGTAGCCACACCACCATTTGCCCAAACCTTCAAAGGTACATGAAATAAATAATTTTGTATACTAGAACTGAATTAAAAAGTTAAATTTTATGCAATAAATTATTTTAGGCCATATTTATTTGATATAGGCAGGATTGTTTTACATAAGATGATAGGTTAATAATAATAATAATAAAGTTGGAAGGTATCTTGGAGGTCAGCTAGTCCAACCCTTTGCTCAAGGAGGAAACCCTATACCATTTCAGACAAATGGCTGTCCAGTCTCTTCTTAAAAACTTCCAGTGTTGGAGCATTCACCATTTCTGGAGGCAGGTTGTTCTACTGGTTAATTGTTCTAACTGTCAGGAAGTTTCTCCTTAGTTCTAGGTTGCTTCTCTCCTTGATTAATTTCCACCTGTTGCTTCTTGTGCTGCCTTCAGGCACCTTGAAAATAGCTTGACTCCCTCTTCTTTGTGGCAGCCCCTGAGATATTGGAACACTGCTATCATGTCCCCCCTCATCCTTCTCTTCACTAAACTAGACATACCCAATTAGAGCAGCCTTTCCTTATATGCTTTAGCCTCCAGTCCCCTAATCATCTCTGTTGCTCTTCTCTGTATTCTTTCTAGAGTCTCAACTTCTTTTTTACATTGTGGTGACCAAAACTGGATGCAGTATTCCAAGTGTGGCCTTACCAAGGCATTGTAAAGTGGTATTAAATAAGTCTTAAGTGGCTCTGCTCTTTCCTAATGGTAAAGTGTGGCAAGTGATGAATATTGATCACTTTACAGATTGAGGATTTTAGGATTCTTTCACATGGAAGATGTTAGTCTTCTATTTCTATATCCATACCATGGGGATTCCAGCTGAGCTGATTAATTCCACAACGTAAGCATCTCAGATCCTTTTCCATGGTAAATATGTCAAAAGGTTTCCATTGGAAAGAATTACTGTTAGCTATGTAGAAGTGGCCTACTGTATGTTGTGTACTTGTATTTGTACGTGTACTTATATCAAGAATTGATCTATTTAAAAACACTTGAAAATTACGGAGTATGGATAAAAGACCAAGATTTAGATTTACCACGAAAGAGAAACATGGTACATCAATGCAGCAATGTAGGGCAAATAGCAGTAGTGTTGCTGCCAAATTTTATCTTAGTTGGAAAGAGATAAGATGTAGTATTCATTTTATTGTCTCTCAATAGTACACAAATGTTCCAGCAATAATACTTCACCCAGAATCTAAAAGTCATTTTTAAATGACTTAAATGACTTTTTCCAAAAACAACAAACTTTGGTTTATACTACATAATAAGTCAATGATAAAATTATTCATGTTTGTGTACCTAATAAAACCTTTGGCTCAACGTGCTATTTCAATCCAGCCAATTTTTAGGCATGTCAATCAATTTTGGGTTCAAGGATGGCAGAGGATCAGGATTAAAACACATAGTATGAATATGGTTGATAGGAACTAATAGATGTGATGCTACATGCAGATGCCATTTCTGGGCATAGTCTTCAAGCAAGAAACTAATATTACACCAAATATTTCTCATCCCTGAATCATTTATTGATCGGTATATAAGCAGTATCATTCATAACCTAATCAATTCCCAAAAATGTTTTATCCATTCAATTTTCAAAACAATGAGCAATCCTAATTAATCCATTCAATGTTCAAGATAGTTAACAATTTTAAACAGGATTCCCCAGAAATGGCAGAAGCCTAGGTTTTATTTTTAAAATATTTTTCAATGCTCTGACACTTGACTATTAAAGCTCAGAGAGACTTACTGTAGCAGTAAATGCTTCCCATATCACAGATGTTTTGAGCAGCAACCCAGGAAATTTCCTGCTAGGTTCTGCCCAAAACTTTATTGTTCCACAGCCATACATCAAGATCTCAATCATGCATGTGCCCGTATAAAAATAAGTACTCAAAAGCCATGATTATAGCAGAAGAGAAGCCTGAGTTCTGAGATTTGTTAAGCAGCTAGATTCAATCTTTCCATAAAGAGAGCAAAATAAAGGAGATATATTGGCAGAAACTTTTTACATTTTGTTTTTATAGCCCACTTGTCAATGTTTCTGTTAACTGCTTTTCTATAATTCTGAGAGAAGACAAACTTTAGTCTCTATTTCTCTACCCGATCAGTCTTAGTAATGACTTCAGATAAGAGGCAGTAGATTTCACTTTAATCAGACTGACCATGAAGTTCCTACTAAAGATGAGCTGAGACATGGCTGAGTGAATTAGACTAGTCCTTTAAAAAGGAATCTTACAATTAATTACCTACATAAAAATAAAAAATATATATATTTTAAAGAAAAGTGCCATGGATGCCTCTCTTCCTGGAATGCTTCTAGATTTAAAGCTACTCTAGTTGTTTTTAAGTTAACCATAAATCCTTCTCAATTCCAGTCCCAGAGAAACATAACTCGGCAAGTCTTTTACTGTAAAAGTGGACTAGCTTTTTGGCACTTTTTTCAGTAACAGTGCTATAGTATTGCCCTAAAACCCCCATCTTCAGACACATCCTGCAAACACCTTTTTATTTTCTCATCTGATCCCAATGTGTCATGCATGCAACATTTACTAACCATTCACTCCATGGGAGCACACATGCACTGATCAAAGGGTCACAAAGAGATCCATACATCCCTGCTGTCCCTTCCCCACCACCTCCAGAGATACATTCATCCCACAGACAGTCGAAGGATCACTTCATTTGCAGTCCACTTGGCTTCATGCTTTTGGCATCTGCTCTTTACTGGAGTGCTGGGTGTGGGATATAGCATTTTATCAACCTGGGGTGCGAGCAGCTAAAGCCTCTTGCATTTTTTGGCGACAGTGGGCATATTTCTGCAGAATCTGCCGAGTATGCTCCTCTTCTTCACGTTTCAGGATACGAAGAAAATTCTGCAATTCAGGCATGCTAAAGGCATCCCACTGCAGAAAAGAAAAGAAAATGGAAGTAATTATCACAATGTGTTTGTATCATAGTGATGAGCTTATGGCCACTAATAGAGATCTATTTCATCATCTTTTACATTATTTTTTTAGAATCTAAAATAAAGGACTAATCCAAACAAAATTTCTAGTGCAAGAAAAGCAGGGGACCATCATTCTTATGCATAACACAAAAAATACTCTTTGTTAGTGTCTCATGTTTAAAAGAAACACATAAAATAGTACAAGGGCATGATATGAATCAAAGCAGAGGGCAAATTGGTAATTTCTTGTTCTACAGCTTACAAAACAGCTTTGAGTTATGACTTTAAATAATGTCCAGTTTGTTCTTTCCTAGTGCAGAAAGAAGAAATATTTAGTAAATTTAAATACTTAGGAATATCTCAGAAGGTGGCAGTACCTGAACAACTTTGTCTGGATTTGGAAACTAAGTAAGATTGGATCTTAGTATGTGGATAAGATTACTTTGGAAAGATGAGGGTCATAAAAAGGGGAGAATAGCTTGGAATAGACTTCCTAGAAAGCAATAGCAAATTTCTTCCATGCTATTACCAAGAAAACTAAATATCTATCCCCTGAATTCACCAGGAAATCAGCCTGACTCAAAGGAAACATAACAATACCCATCAGATAATAAATATCATCATATGATTCTACTATTGACCCTGGTTGAAGTCCCTAAGTCCATATCAATGTGTCATCAGGGTATACTATAGGCCACCCAACCAAACAGAGGAAATAGATGAACTTTTTGCTAATCAGCAAACTAAGGTATGTAGGAAGCACATCACAATAGAAATGGGGGACTTTAATTACCCTGACATCAACTGAGAAACAAACTCTGCACCAAGTGGAAGATCAAACATTCCTGACAAACCTAGCAGACAACTTTATCTCCCAAAAAGTAGAGAAGGGAACTAGGGGATTAGCCAAATTGGATCTAATTCTCACTAACAGAGATGAAATGATAGGAGGTGTTGAAGCCACAGGAACCTTGGGGGGAAGTGATCGTGCAATATTGGAATTCAACATTATGGAAGCACAAGCAATAGAACACAGTCAAACTAGAGTCTTGGACTTTAAGAGAGCTTATTTCAATAAACTTAAGAGAGAGCTTGAGAATGATTCTATGGATGAGAATCCTCAAGGGGAAAACAACCCAAGAAGCTTGGGAAATTTTGAAAAGTGAGATAATAAAAGCCCAGTTTAGCACAATACCAACAAAGAAGAAAAATAACAGCTCTCAAAAGAAAGCAGCATGGCTGCATAAAGAACTCTCTGATAAATCAAAAGATAAAAAGGACAAGTATAAAAAGTGGAAAGAAGGGCACATAACTAAGGCAGAATATCAGCAAATAGCCCGTGCCTACAAAGATGAAGTGAGGAAAGCTAAGGCTCAAAATGAACTAAGGCTTGCGATCAAAGTCAAAAATAATAAAAAAGAGCTTCTTTCAACATGTAAAAAACAAGAAAAAAGTGAAGGAAATGATTGGTCCATTAGTGGGCGAAAGTGGCAAGGTGACAAGCAACAGGGAGAAAGCAGAACTATTTAACTCATTTTTTGCAACTGTCTTTATACAAAGGGAAAAAACAGTCCAACCTATCAAAAACAGTACCATAAAAAAGATAGGCTTAAGATGCAGGAGGATCTGGACAGACTTGAACATTGGGCGCTATCTAACAAAATGAAATTCAGCGGTGAAAAAAGTAAGGTTCTACATTTAGGCAAGAAAAACCAAATGTGCAGGTATAGTATAAATGATACCTTGCTCAATAGTAGTAACTGTGAGAGATCTTAGAGTCCTAGTGGACAATCACTTAAATATGGGTCAGCAGTGTGTTGCAGCTGCCAAAAAAGCCAACACAGTACTAGGCTGCATTAACAGAGGGATAGAATCAAGATCACGTGAAGTATTAATACCACTTTACAATGCCTTGGTAAGGCCACACTTGGAATACTGCATCCAGTTTTGGTCACCACGATGTAAAAAAGATGTTGAGACTCCAGAAAGAGTACAGAGAAGAGCAACAAAGATGATTAGGGGATTGGAGGCTAAAACATATAAAGAACGGTTGCTGGAATTGGGTATGTCTAGTTTAATGAAGGGAAGGACGAGGGGGGACATGATAGCAGTGTTCCAATATCTTAGGGGCTGCCACAAAGAAGAGGGAGTCAAGCTGTTCGCCAAAGCACCTGAAGGCAGGACAAGAAGCAATGGATGGAAACTAATCAAGGAGAGAAGCAACCTAGAACTAAGGAGAAACTTCCTGACAGAACAATTAACCAGTGGCACAACTTGCTTCCAGAAACGGCGAATGCTTCAACACTGGATGTTTTAAAGAAGAGACTGGACAGCCATTTGTCTGAAATGGTATAGGGTTTCCTGCCTGGGTAGGGGGTTGGACTAGATGACCTCCAAGGTCCCTTCCAACTTTTTATTATAATTGTTGTCGTCATCATCCTCATCATCATCATGAAACACAATGCAGATCTTTATAGGCTCTAAAATTACTGGGCACTCAGAATTTAATCTTCTTAAAAAGATTTAATAAATGAATATTAACATTTAGAAACAGCAACAAAAGAGCTTCTAGTATGATAAATTGCTACCCAGCCAGTTTAGGTCCTCATTATAAACTACAACAGTAATGTGGGTTTTTGTGGAACATTCTGAAACAGACATTTTTCTGGTGCCTAAAATTAGGAATATGCAAACATTTTCAAATCTGAAATGCCTAATCATGCTCAAAATAGCTGTTCTGATCTTAGTGGAAGTGTCCCAACCCATTTCAAGCTATTAAGTTTTTGGGATGAGCAGAGCATCTTTTTCAAGTTCAGAACTTGGCAGTTCAAATTCTAAATGTGAATTTTCCCTTATTGTTACTAAAATGTAACTGAATTCCAACTTTGAATCTTTGATTTCAAGATTTCCAAAAATAAGCAGTATTATGTAAATGTTAAATTCAAGCAAATATAAAGGTTTTCTTGAAAATTTTCATTATAATACTTGTAAACAATATATCAGGTCTGTGGCACAAAATTCCTTTCATTTTAGTAAAATAACCAGTAATAGTACTGTAATGTTCATATATACGTGATTCCTACTAATAGTCACCTAAAGGTTATTAAAACTGTTCAAATTGTCCAGTTTGTTATGTACTATTATTTTTTGTATGCTATATTTTCAAAAAAGGGCAGCTTCTTGCAGAAAATATTGCACTGCAACACTTTGTACATTGCAGATGTATATACACTATTGTTAAAAACCATGCAACTGGAACTAGGACATCAAGGCCAGTGCCCTTCTCTATCTGTTGAGGTCAAGGCAAAAGCTGCTACAGAGCAAATAGCTATGGAGCTTGTTATACTGCAAGGCAATTCATTACTAAGTCACACAGGTTCAACATCAAGCTTTAGACCCATCAATATCTATACTCACATTGACTTCACCAGTCTCATTTTCCTTCAGAACAAAACTGAGTGTTTTTTCGTTAGGACCAGCAAGTAGTCGGAGACGCAGGGGTTGCTCCTCATCAGAAAGCTTACGGATATATACTGACACACAAAAGAATAAGCAAATGAAGTATATGAATGATTGAGTTTTCCAGGTAGCACAGATTTAACTAAAATAAACAAACTGATCTCTTCTGGGAAGAGACTTTTAATACATCAGTTACAAACTTTCTCACAAAGGAATTCTGCAGCAGGAAAAAATTAAAGATTTGATTCCTCCCAGCTGACTTCCAGCCCTGACATATAATTAACAATAATGAGAACACTCTTAAAGAAACCCTAAGTTTCATTAAAATTCTTTGTTCATTATATCTTGAAGATAACCTTGCCCTGGGTGATTTAAGGGCTGTTTTCTCTCAACCTCATATTTTTCAACTTGTTCAATATGAACTTACTAGTTCATACAGGTAGTTCTCAACTTACAACAGTTCGTTTAGTGACTGTTCAAAGTTGTAACAGCACTGAAAAAAGTGACCATTTTTCACACTTATGACCCTTGCAGCATCCCCGTGGTCATCTGATTAAAATTCAGAATGCTTGGCAAATGACTCATATTTATGATGGTTACAGTGTCCCAGGGTCATGTGATCATCTTTTCTGACTTTCCGACAAGCAAAGTCAATGGAAAAGTCTGATTCATTTAACAACTGTGTCACTATCAATTGCAGTAATTCACTTAACAACTGTGACAAGAAAGGTTGTAAAATGGAGCAAAACTCACTTAACAGTTATCTCGCTTAGCAACAAAAATGTTGGGCTCAATTGTGGTCGTAAGCTGAGGACTATCTGTATAGTATTTTGACCATCACATAATATGTATCATATTATCACTCTCATAGCGTAAATAAAACAAAATACTGTCCTTCATAAAAGTATTCCTTTGCTGCCCAGTTCAAGTGATTCACTATTACAACAGAATTAAAGCAAAACTATGAGGAGGAAAGGAAAGGAAAAGGATCATCCTATCCTCAAAACATCCCAACTCTCTGGGCCTACTCAAGGAGAATAAGCTTAACAGCCTTTGGGAAGTCCAGTAAGGAGGCTGCTATTTCTACCTTTGTATGGGGAAGCATTCCTGAAGTTGGGGTCTATAACACAGATGGATTTGTTTTGGTTCCATCGGCTCTTGATTTCTTAGGCATCCTCCCACTGCGTGTGCATTGACCAGACAAATTCCCTGGTCAATATGGTCCTTAAGATATATCAAATTTACAGTACGTTACATGTTTTTTTTCAAGAAATTCAAAAGGAAAGATCGAATACCTTGGTCATCTTTTTCTGTTCTCTCAAAGAGGGCAAATTTGCGGGGATTGTCAACAACCATGAATTTCTTGAGCAGGGCTTCAATGACTTCACTGGCACGTGTACGAGAAATTATATGCAGATGCTTGATTGTATCCTTTGGTAAGTAGAATGAAGTTCGGCGCTTTACAGCCTGGCTGCGCACAGAACTCTTCCTAGTGTCCTGGATTGAGGGTGCTTTCTTATTGGCAGGTACTGACACAGGCCGGATCAGTTTTAGTTGTACCTTAATGAAGCCAGTATAGGACCCATCTTTATTCTGCAGGAGGAGAAGAACAGTGAGTTGGGCAAAGAAGCCAGCAAAAAATTACCTCTAGAATGTCATGGGTGCAACATTTGGAAAGGAAGGATTTGAATGAAATTTTTATTTTGTTTGTTGAAAACAGCTAGGAATTCTATATATGAAATTATTTCAATGTTAATATTTTAATGACTGAGTTAGTGATTAAGGGAAGGCAGAGGCCTCTGTTGCTGAGATGTAGAAATATATTTGGGGCTTTGAATTACAATTGTTCTTAAACTTACCAAACTCATAAAGAGGTTACTGTTTATCTGGCTATTATATTCTTTTATCTTTTGTTCAATCTCAGCTTGGGACAAAATGGTTTTCTCCCAGTCAATCTGTTCATCCTGCAGAAGAATCAATATATTTAAATTAGTCTATTCTGTAAGTCTCAGAAAAAATAAAATGCAATTTTATAGTTGTTTTTGCTATCACCTATGTACAAGGAACTCTACTTCTTTACAGAGAAGAAACAGGTAAACTTTCCCTCAAATTGAATTTGTGTATTTGGAAGCAAGCCACTGCTTCCAATTACTAAGTCAAAAATCTATTACCTTTGGAAGAAGGGGATAGATCTGCCAAAGGAAAGCAGAAATAGTTTATCGGTACCTTCATTTTAAAAAATCATAAAGCTGCTTTTAATGCTCAGTCTTATACATCCTTATTTCAATTTCCCCTATCTCATTTAACGGGGACAACCATTACAGATGAAATCTAAAGGGGAATTTAAACGATAAACATACGTCTGAATATCTAAGAAGCTGTTGCTAATACTGAAACTGTTCTTTGAAACTTTCTGCATTCAAAATGTACTTTAGATACATGCTAATAAAGTCATTTACAATGAAAATAGCATATGAACCAAGGCTCTGCCCTGTTAAAACGCTTCTGGCAAAATCTAAGCTTCTCTTGAAAAGAAATGTAAACAACAGCTTAGTAGTATGCATTGCTCTTTGGACAATATAGTTGTTAACTACAATAGTATAAATAGTGAGGGGTAGTATAATGAAAGATGATATTGAAAATCAAAACCCAACCCTAGCTCCCCCAAACTTCAGGTGAAGTTTGTTTTACTCCACAAATTCCTTTATTCACTCGGCATGAGTGAGTTCACTGTACCAAGCTGTAGTTCTTGAAGCAATCTCACATTTCCCAGCATCAGCTGCAAAAAGCAGAGAACAAAATTCTTTGATATCATCATTGGGCGTAACAAGAGAAACTGAAATAATAATGCACCACACCTTTGTTTGATATTACACCGAACCCAATTACATGAGAGTTAATTAGTCTCATAATTAATATGCAGTAGGCTGCCACCCAGAGTTCTATTACCACAAGAAAGCTAGAAGGAATAGTTAAAATTTCTCCTGAAAATTACAGCACCTTGCTACCAGCTGAAATTCCCAGCAGCTACAAAACTGGCATTTAGTAAAGATAACCATGAATAAAAGAGACTGGATAGCCATCTGTCGAAAATGGTATAGGGTTTCCTGCCTGAGCAGAGGGTTGGACTAGATGACTTCCAAGGTCCCTTCCAACTTTATTACTACTGCTGCTGCAAAATTTGTTAGGACTATACTAATATAAAATTACTATTTTACTTTTTTTTCTTATTTCTCTAATACTGTACCATAAAAAGGATGGTGAAAGGCAATGCTAAAGGAACATTGCCTATAAATAAGTCTTCCACTGTGTTATTGCTGTGGCTAGCAAGATATTGAGAAAACAATGTCTCTGAACATTTATATATTATTGTTACAAAAGCATGCTATTTTGTTTTGTTTTTAAAGCAAGATAATTAATCTCTAAGATTTTTTTCATAATATTGTAACAATGGGGCAGGAAGTCTTCAAAGGAGAACAAAGTTCCAGATATAGAGGCGTACAATATTCATAAAAGCCAATCACTCAGTTTGTGGAATAATTATAGAAGTTCTATTCTGAGAGAAGGGGACGCGAGCTTTCCTCTTTGCCCAAGTACAGATAACTCTCGTTAGCAACTGCTCAAACTACGAATGTTGAATGAGTGGTAGCTACAATGGTCCTCGTACTCACGTCAGTCTCAATGACCCTGTGCTCACATAATTATTGGGCACCTGAGTCGAATGCTGCATGTCCCATGATCATCATTTGTGACTTTTCTGGCTTCCAGCAAGCAGTTAATGAGAGAGTCGGCAGGAGGTTGCAAATGGTGACCATGTGAAGTCTTTGCTTAATGATACATGGTGATTCACTTAATGACAGCAACCAGGAGTATCAGATTTTCTGTGGCTAATTAATCATGTGACACTGCACATTATGACTATGTCATTTAATGATAGAAATTTCCAAATCCCAACTTTAAGTGAGGCACACTTCTAGGCAGAAATGAGATATATTCCTGCAGAGGAACAATCTGCACAAGGAACCATCTGATCCATTCTGAGTAGCCTATCCTGTAGACAAAGCACTTAAGGCCTGCATTGGCATTCAATGACAAGAGCACATAGCAGAAAGTAAGATTTATTTTACATACAGCAGTCCCTACTTATGGAACAGCTGAACTTAAGATGATGAAGACCTTCCTTTTTATAGACAAGCCTTGCTCCCTAAATTAGTGGGAGGGGATTGATCATGTATTTAATTTTGGGAGACTGAATTGTGTTTAGTGAGATAATGGGATGTCTCATATATTGCTAATGACTACAATCTTGAGATAGAAGGATGGATAAATAAATCTGTGTATCAGTAATTGCAAGATGCAACTATCTTGAGAAGCTCTTAGCAAGTCACCACTGGATAATTCTATCTTGTTTTGCTAATGAACAACAAATAATTCTATTGTTATAAAAAGGACATGACTCAGAAAAACTAGATTCAGTAGACCAGCTTTTAAAATCCTTTTTAAATTAAGAATTTAATTAAGAATATGGGAACTTCTACTCTATGAATTCAACACTTCAGATTAACAAGAACACTTCAGGTCCCATACTAAAGTACATCTTTCACGCTAGAGAACTGTACACATAAAACAACTTTTGCCTACAAGTGTAACAAAATCCTAGTTTCTCTTTCCCTGCTTTTCGGTTATTTGCTTCTGATTGCATCAGCCTCTCTTCCTGCTGGCATTCTCTAGTGGAGGATGGGAGATTGTGGGGAATTCCAGATGAGATCATTAAAAACCAATCTGAAATCTCTAAGGATTACTGAAAATCATTTCCTATGTCACCACAACAGTAAGTGTATGAGTCGATGATTTATGTGACTGGCTCCCATTTCCCCAGATAGAATCATTCAGAGACAAGACAAGCATAGTTTTATGCTTAAATTGTTATGATACGCATATGAAAGAGACAACAGAAAAACTTTAACGATTTCTGTACAATTATATCAATTTGATAAAGGGATTCAAATGCAATATTTGCATGTGGTAATCCTAAACTGAAATCCTTGTAGATGACTTTAGGCCACAGGTGTCAAACTTGCCGTGTCATGTGACATGTCGCGATGTATTGCGACTTTTTTCGCATTACCGGAGCTGGGATGGGCACAGCCTCCACATGATGCAACCGGCCCACGGGCCGGCAGTTTGACACCCCTGCTTTAGGCAAATAAGTTTAGTTTACTGCACAGTTGTTGAGATATAAAATTACGCAAAGTTCCTTGGAGGAAAGGTGGGATACAAAATTTTGCAAATGTAAAAACAAACTAAATTGTAGATAGAAATGCTGAAGAATAATAATTTGTTAGCAAGACACATATCTCATGGATTTATTAGGAAAACAATGACAAATTTAAAATTATATGCCATTTTTCCAGCGGAAACCAGTGTTTTATAATGAATGATAGCAGCATAAATTAATGTAATCCAAACTCCTGAGAGGTCCATCTCTTTAGCATTTCCAGTATTTTCAAAGGATTATCACCAATCCATTTAATTTCCTTATATTTGTAAAGTAAGGATAGGAGGTGCCAAAACTATAGGCTAACAAGGTTTGAGAGAGGTTCTTTTTATCAGCCTGATCATTACAAAAATCACAAAAAACTCAGCCATATTAAATGGAATGGAGAACCATATTAAAAAAAAACTATCAAGATTGGTTATGTCTAAAAAGAATTTTTAGTGCCACAAATTTCAGTGAAAATAGAAGCACCACTTTTACAGAGAAACCACCTTTTTTTGGCATTCTCTTAGCTGACATCTAAGAACCACCATTTTATCAACATATCTGAACACTTTCCATCCCAAGGATATGTTTTTGTTGTTTTATGTGAATCATTAAATTAAAATCATGAAAGTATTTTAGAGGGTGAAAATGAAGGATAGTCTTCATATGCTGCCCTGCGATATTTTTGGGATAAGCAAATTAATTAATAAAAGAAAATCCTCTCTCAAATCAGGAATACTAAAACATGTATATATGTGAGAAGGATGGAGAAGAATAGTTATTCCACCTAGTGGAACCTAATTATCAGCCAGGTAGGAAAGTAAATCTGACTTAACGGAACTTTGGGAACTTAAGTCTCTATTCCTGCTGCATTTTTCCCTAATCAACTCATCTTTGATTTTAGAAAATAAGACTAATATGTTTAAGCAGGGAATGTAGTAAAGTGGAGCAACCACTTGCAGTGTTCTCGAGTGTCAGATTTTGCAAGCTTCTACCATCCTCACCTTTACGGAAGGGGAAAAGTGCAGGAAAAGCCAACTTGGAACAACTAGAGCATCAGCTCTTATAAGTGAGAGAGTATGGGATTTGAAATGTGCTTCAGACTGCACACAGATGGTAGGTTGGAGGGTCCCAAATCATATATAAAATGTTCAGTATATATTTAATCAACTTTGTTTTGGCTCATGTCCATACTGTGGAGTTCTTACTGTATACTACTAATGTACAAGAGGTACAGTAAGATTCTGAAACATTTATACATCTCTTTTGTTTAAGGAAAATAATAAAGCAATACCTTTCTAGAGTGACTCATAGTTTTCCGTGGTCCCTCTAAAAGAACAGTGTGTGTGTGTGTGTGTGTGCGTGTGTGTGTGTGTTACAGTGAAGCTTATTGTTTTAATTTTCCACTCCAACTCATTACTCATATAGCATTAATCATTTGTAAGAATTGTATAACCTTCATCTTACATTTCTTCACTCAGCAAAATAATATATATTTAATAACACAGTTAACCTATTTTTTCACATAGTAATATTGCTTCAAATCAGAATCTGGAAAAATTCTGTTTTGGTTCTCACATGACTAAAATAGATGTTAAAAAGTATATAAAATAAAAGCTCATCAAATAGAACTATCTTAAGACTTTTACAATGTTGTACAGAGTTGTCAGTTCCTGAAAAAAATCTATTTGCGCTAGTCAC